CTTTCTAACACTTAGAAAAATTTCTAAGTCTTAGAATTTTGACTTTTCAAAGATAATTTTGACTTTTCAATTTCTTGATGAACAAGTTTCATATTTTGACATCTCTTGATGAAATATGATTTTTGAAACTTGATTTTGATCAAAAAGTCAAAGTTTGACTTTTCAGTGTACAATTGACTTTTCATCAATTGACTAAAATTCATCTGTTAATCCAATTATCTTGAGAGGTGATTTGAACTATGCAATTAGTTCAAGATGGTGCATTTTAATCCTTGATATCATGTCTTAAACCAATAAGTCATTTCTTGGTCAAAAGTCAAGAACTGAGCCTTCTCAATCAAAACCCTAATTTTGACCATTTTACCCTTTTGGTGCTCTGATCAAATTTCTTTGAGGAATTGTGATCCAAACTTGATAAATTGACATATATGAGTTCATAATGTTGATATGGATAAAAAATTATGAAGTTTTACTGTAGGTTGACCACAATTGACTTTTTATCAATACAATTGATTTTAGGTCATCTGATCAAATGACTGAGCAATTTTGTGATCCAAGACTTGAAACTTGACATGATAAATATTGAGGGTTCCTAATGATCCATGAAATTCATTTGAGGCCTTGAAAGTCCAATTTTCCTTGTGAAAACTCAAATGCTAATTCAGTGTTGAGGAGGTGTCTTGAGCTGATCAAACCTTGTGTAGTCTCGAATCAATGGAGATCTTATGAGAGATATATTGAGAAATGAGAGGAAATTTTTTGGGGTACAACACATTGACTTTGTGGTAATGAAGAAGGGGTTTATGACCTATGAAGATAAAAATAAAGGTGTCATACTTGGTAAAGGTAGTATAGGTAAATCCTTCTTCTACTAATATATCTATTGTTGAAGAGTTTATGTTTGTCATTTATAATGAATATTATCCTAGATAAGTCATGAAAGGTATTTATTTTCATGATGTAGGTATATCTTAAGAAGACATACTCAAAGACACCAAAGAAAGAACTGATCAACCTAAAGTGGTGAAACCTGAGGAGGAGTAGGATGATCCTAAATATGAGAATGGTATCAAATCGACAATATTCTTGGAGACATCACCATAAGTGACCACACTCTCTAAGACTACTCTAAGAAGGGACATTTATGTGAAAAATAATGCTCTATCAAAAACAGTTGATGCAAAGTCTCTTGATAATTCAATGTCTACAAATGGGAACTTTGATACAGATAAATGAGTTATAAACATTGAAGTATAAAATTTTTAAGGCATTCTTTACAGTTATTTCAACTTTCATTTGAAAGTTCCTCGTTCTGTAAGTGCATCCTCCGTCTTTCGTCTGGTGAGATAATATCATTTCACTTATCTCTTTGCTAGTAAGTTTTTATTTTCTGTATTGTTTATCAATATCACTTGCAATTTTATTTTGTGTTTACGTGATATATTTGATGTGTAATTCAATCCCATGAATGTTCACTTCCAAATTTTTGTTGTGAACCAATGATTGTTTTCAATCCATATGTTTATAATGACTTCATGTTTTAATCTTTTGTGGTTCATCATCATTTGTATTTCATGGCATAATATCTTAGCATTTGAAATATCTTTTGATAGTATGCTTACACATGTTATTTATCTCTTTTGCATTTTTGTGCATTGTTGGTTATTTATGTTTATATTTTTTTACTCTAATATCATTCTATGTGAGTCTTATTTTTGTTGATCGTTAATTCTTTGCTATCACCTTTATGTGATATATCGGTATGTGTGTTCTATTGCATCTGATATACTATAATTCTCATGATTTGTCTTATCTCTTTATGATGTTGTCAAAGAGGGAGAATCATATGCAAGACGAATTTATGATGAATACATTCAGGGGAGCCTTCATGAAGACATCAAACGCATCGTCGTAAGTTTTTCCATCATCAAAAAGGGGGAATATGTGAGTATATTTTCTCATTAAAGATATTTTGTGTGATGTCAAAACTATTATCTTTTTACCGTTTGTATATATTGGACGATATTCTCTAAGTTTTGATGTACATCTGAGTACTAGGAAGTTTAAAAGCATTTTTGAAAAGGTTTCATGTGATAATCATATCTATGTGTTGACACATACATGCTATGATTTGACACACATGAATGCTTTTTAAAGCCTGTAGGTTTTATGCATTAAAAACAATATTTTATGTGAAAAACATGTTTATATGTTGACACATTCGATAATGAGTAGACACAAGTAGTATGTATTGACAAATACATGCTATGAATCGATATATATGGATGCCTTTTAAAGCCTGTAGCTTCTGTTTGTATGAGTCGACTCATAAGGCTCTTTAGATCAACACATAGCAAAAGATTTTTGCTATGATTTGACTCATGACTTATATGTGTCGACACAGGCGTCAAAGTTTTGAAAATTCTGCATTCTTTTCTAAACTTCTTGCATTCTATTTTTGCTCCAACTTGCACACACATGTATACCCCATACATGCATCATTTCAACCAGATGAAACCATAAACATATAAAGTAAACTCTCGTCCTATTAACTTCACCATCATTCATCCCAGGCATATTAACTTCATCATCATCCATCTCAACCCCATTATCTTCACCCCCATTAACCCCACCCGCGTTCATCTCATCCTCATTATCTTCACCCTCATTAACCTCATCCTCATTCATCTGAATATCATTCATCTCATCCCCGTTATCTTCACCCCCATTCACCTCACCCTCACTCACCTTATCCACACCACCTTATGTACCTTTGACAACTTCATCATAGAGTTTTAGAATCTCATCTTCTTCTTCATCAAGATTAACAACATCCTCTGGGTTTATGGTCTCTTCCTCTAAAGGACCATCATAATAGTCTGGTTGAGAAAGAGGATGTTGCACATACATATAAACACTAAAATATACTTTACATAAATCAACTACATCTTGAGCACCTTTATTCCAGATTTTTTATAACACAACTCTTTAATTATCCATACCACCTCAAAATAACTTCACTTATCTACATCACATCTCACTTTAAAAACTAATCCTTCTTAACTAGAATATTGTTTAATTCACCTCCATGATATACAAATTCACCTCCATGATAAATAAAAACATGAACAAAGGCATTCATTTCTTACCAAAAAGGAAAATTGTTTAATTGGAACCAAAACAACAACAACACAAATTTGTAAAATCCAAACAAATCCATATACTAAAAATCATACAATCACATTGCTACAACATAAGTTCCTAAAAGAAACAAAGAATCATACAAAACAAACTAACATTTCAAATATAAACCAACAAAAGCCCTAATATGAAGAACATAACCTAAAACAAATTTTAAACATTAAATCAAACAAATTTCACCCAAGAAATCGAAAACCAAGTAAACCTAATTTTAAAAAGGGTCAAAAACTGAAAACCCACAAGACCTTAAATTTGAAAGAGGTGAAACTTTGAACTTACAAGTAAACTTTTTTTCCTCTTTTCGATTCAGCCATCTTTCCGTCGTTCTCAACTGTTAGATAATCTTTCACAATCTTTATTCTTCCAGTTCACAGTCTTCACTCTTCCAGGAACTTTGTATACTGCAGTTATTCCTTCGTTTCACTCAGAGAGTAAAAAAGAAACATGAAATGAATGAAGCTCTTAAAAATGAATAATAAAGCATTCCTTCGTCTTCGAAAAATAAATAGCAAGTGAAATATTCCAACTCAACATTAAGTTGTCACATAGCAAATACTAGTCTAATTAAACGACATCTAACATTGTTCATTGATTTTGACTAACACGGTTGACGTCAAGGACAAACGTGACTATGTTTGATAAATTGAAGGATCAAATTTGACTTTTTAATTAAGGACCAAACTGAACTTCGATAAAAAAATACGGACGAAAAATAATATTAAGCCTTAGAAAACCTAAATCAATCTAATTTTAATTTGAAATAAATTATGTTTTTGTATGTTAATTTAGTTATTTATCTTTAATGACATTTATATTATATTGTTGAAGTAACTAACATTCTTAGTTCACTTATGTTATAAATCTGTATACATGAATGATCCTTGAATGAAAAAATAGTAAAAGTAATAATATTTTACAACTTGAAAGCATAATTAAACCCTTGTTGATGATAACAAGTTCACAGTCTTAGATATAAACTTGTGATGGATTATATATTGTAATAGTGATTTATGATATAATTTAAATGATTGAACAATGTAATGAGAGAGCTTTGGGGGCACAAGGACATGATTGGAACATAGGTGATAGACAGTATTTAGATAGAAGTAGGTAAGTACACGTTATCATCTTTTTACATTTTTACAATACAAACTATTGCACTACATGATCTTGAAATGTTTAAATATCATAAATATTGTTGGAGATCATGATAGGAATGATATTATGAAGATTCCTTTGTTGATATTGAACAAAATCTAGTGAGATGGTATGTAAATTTGATGGTAGAAGAGAATCATGTTTGGATTTACAATGTGAACACATCTATTATAATAAGTAACTAAATGAAGCTTTAGTAGACACGCAAGCGCCTGTAGCTCAGTGGATAGAGCGTCTGTTTCCTAAGCAGAAGGTCGTAGGTTCGACCCCTACCTGGCGCGATTATTTTAAATATCTCCCTTTTTTCTCTTTTTAACACGCTGCTTAATCGACACTACACTTGCCACCAACTAACCTAATTAGTCACCACATTATCAATATTGCCATGTTTATCACATTTTTAACCAACCACAAACATTACACTAACTGTAAAATCAAACTCATTAAACTTCCATCAACACAAAACTCACGTATTTTATCCTAAACTTGAAAATTCAAACAAGAAAACTGAATTGCTTTGTGCAACAATTTATTTTATTGCTTTCTACTACAAATTAAACAATTTGATGTCTTCCCATCATACTCTGAAATCACTTCTCTAGTGCACTCTAGATGCATATCATTTTTCTGCATCAGAAACTCTAGCACTTTGGAAAATCTTTAGGCGGTGGAAGTATAGACTCATTGAAACCTCTCCCATTGTCTACTATAAATGCCATCTTAAGTCCCCATGTTGTGTGCACTTCTAAATGGCAATGCAGAAACCAAACACCTTCACAATTCACACAACACATGATAAAAAAATAAAAAACTAAAATTTGATAGTTAGAAAGAAAAAAGAAGTGACGACACGTTTTTTCAGAGATGTCGGTGTGACGTATATTTTTGTTACCTGGATTATCTGCCCTGAATCTGATTGCAACCCAACCATTATTTGGCACTGACAATGTGTTTCTTTCAACTGGATCAACAAGGTTAAACCCTAAAGGATCCTTTTCAGGGTCAAAATTTCCCAAACCTTGTCCAACAACAAAGAAATTGTACCCATGCAAATGAAACGGATGATTTTCCGGTGCTATCATTGCAGTGCCTTGTAGAACAATTTCAACACTTGAATTAAAATTCAGTCTATAAACTCTTGTACCGTTCTCGGTGTGAAGATTATCAGGTTGATTTGTTCCGGTGTAATCGAAAACCATAGGTGGATTCGCAGGAAAATCGTCGGTGAAAATTCCTTTGATATTGTAGTAATGTGCTTGAAGAAGTGATATATGAGGCATCAAGAAGGTGATGTTGTTAATAGCAGATACAAATTTGTTGCCATTGGTGCATTTATCGCATGGATTAAGCCCAACTGTTATAGCAAATAGAAGGGAGTGATCAATGGTTGATGAAACTTTTGTAGGGTAGGTGTTTGAGTTAATGCTTCTGAGAGAATCAGTGAAAGTTTTTGTTATTGGAGTTGCATTAAGTGGAGGAATGTTTGTTAAGATTGTTTTGGTATAAGGTGGTGTTCCTTTGTAGTGGAGTGTAGCAGTTGAAGAAACATTGTCAAAGCCGATGGGTGCGTCCATGAAAGGAGTTGTTGCTATTAAGTATTTGCCGAAATTTTTGTTGGCGGTTAGAAGAACGTTTGTGGTTTGGCCTGGACTGAGAAATATGGTGTCGGTTTCGAAAGGTTTGAGATATGATGCATCTGCTTCAACAACTGTTAGTTTATGGTCTGCGATTTTGAAGAATAATTCGTCGTTTAAGGCTGCGTTTATAATGCGTAGGAGATAGGTCTTGCCGCTTTCAACATGAAGAGTGTAACCTGCAAAAGTCGATAAAGGTTAATATTTCATGACAAGTTTCAACAAGGTCTGTGAACAATTTGAGCATTTGACTCTAATTCTGTGCAATATCGAGGATCACAATAAATACCCTTGGAAATGCAACCGGGAGCCGGTCCTGGATAACCGTTGATTGTATGAGCATCTGAAATATTTGGTGGCAGACCAGAATTTGTGGCCTGATTAACCACAGCTTCAACATCTGATTTCCACCATTCGCCTATAACTCATACAAATCAAGGTTAACAAAAGGAACACAATGCACAACTTCTAATTGCTAAAGTTTAAGAAATAATTGCTTCTTTGCTAATTACAAAACTTACCTAGAATGATTATCTTTTCTTTGTTAGGTTTGGGAAATGGATAAGGAACGCGTCTTTTAGGCAAAATGACAATAGCACCATGCACTGTAGCCCTTAGCCAGGTGATATGTGCATGCCATAGAAGTGTGCCTCTTTGACCTGTGATGGTAAAGTTGTAGACAAAGCTTTGTCCTGTCTTAATAGGGCATTGTGTGACATATGCCGGCCCATCAAACCAACAAGTCTGAAGCTGTTTGATTCCATGCCTGTCATTAAGTCCAAGAATGATTAATTAAATGAAAACCTATAAGTGCAGACACAACACTGACGGTGACTAAACAAGTGTCTGATGCCTGGCACGCCTTCAATTAGAAGTGTCAGTACTACATGGGTCAAAAGAAGAAATTCTCACCAATGGATTGTAACTTCATGTTTAACATGGTTAGTGACCTTTACTATTAAAGTGTCATCTTCTCTTGCATATATAGTTGGCCCTGGGAATTTTCCATTTACTGTGACAAAAGATTTTGTTGAACAAAGCTTTGTTTCATTCTTCAATACCACCTGTATATTCACCAGCATGAAATGTTTGGTTTTTCCATATTTTGATATATACAAGGTATTATGATAATGAGTCCTTTGAAAAACCCTTATTTAGAGTATGTTCCGGCTTCGCTACTCACATAAGAATTTCAAAATGGTAATAGGCTACGTTAAGGTTTGCAATGCCGTTTGAAAATGTTAAACCTGAGTCTGACTTATAATATGTCATAGACCCGTGTTTAAGGTCTACCCTATCCTTTTTGTCAGTAGCAGAGGAACTGTTATTTTGATCATGTTTTAATGCCAATGAGCCTGCAAATTTGAGAATAAGAAGTGTACTTACACTAAAATTGTAATGACGCACCAAGGACTGAACAAAGTGTGGAAATGAAAGAGCTATCATGAAAATCGCTATAAGGCGTGGCTCCATTCTATTCACTGTTATTAACCTCCTCTTGTTTGAATAATAATTATGTAAGACCAAGCACATTAACATTATATAATGGAATAATTTGTGATGTAGTGTCGTTTTACGTATGGTAGGTGAGTACTAAAAAATGCTAGCTATGCACATTTTGAAAAACTATACCAAGGTTTCTTGCATGCTACACAATGTTGTCCTTATCTGTCTTGTTCAATGTAAACCAGTGCTGCTATTTTCATTTTCAGTGAGTTGAAAAATACAGCTCAGCTAACAAATACTTGTTTTTCTCATTATCATAGCATTTTACTTGACTATATCTTTCTCTTATATGTGTAAATTTGAAGTGTTATTCTTCAAAATACACTGCTAGGAGATAGATTTACCTGTCAAATCATGTTATAATAAATATCCTGTACCATCAAATGGTACCAAAATGATTCAAATGTCTTATCTTTTTCAATTTGATTTTTCTAATTGCTGCCTTTGTACTTCACTAAACTCGCCTCATTAGGCCAAGATCAAAACTCACATTTTTTGCATTGTAAAAATATATTATATCCTTTTAAGATAATTAGTAGATTAAATTTAAGAGGTTGATTTGTTACCACTGCTAAAGAAGTTAATTATGTCATAATTTGGTAATGGAGGCAGGGGTTAAGGACTCTAACTGTTTTCTTGTATTGAATTGAATTATGAACCAAAACAATATGGTTGAAAATGATGTTACATCTTTTTTTTTTAATGTTAAAAACAAAACTCATCGCATAGCCATTTGTGCACAGATATGCTAGAAAATTAAGTTCAACCACATAAGAGAAAAACCAAAGAAAAATTAATAGTGAAGCAAGATGTAATAATACAACAATTACTCAACTTTACATATATACACGAATGGCAAAGAAGCTTGTGGTTTGAATAAAATGATGTTCACTATGGTGGGGAAACATTTATTAATTCAGCTTCTACCACTGTTGTTTTATGTTTTTGAAAATTTGCCACTTAAAAAATTAATGAATCGAGTCGGGAATTAAGTCACTCTCTTTAAGACGTTTCATAATACTGTTTAAAATTGTGCAAAACAGTCACTCAACCACAACGCCTTCAGGATAAAACAGTTCAGTTCTATACTGTACAATTACTATTTGTATAATAGGTAATTGGTATAAAAATACACTCTCTGATAGCAGTATGACCAATGAAATATGATATAAATATCACTATGAGTATTTAGTTTTTATACCAATCGTAGATGTCGTAAAGAAGCCACTTGAAAATAAAAAACAAAGAAGAAATTTTTAGATGAAGTAGAGATGAGTGGAGGAGAAAGATTTCGGAGTGGGAAATTTTGGAGTGTAGAAAATGAAATGGAGTTGATCCAATGGTAGGCAAGGCAAAATCGTGGAAGTTTGATAAAAAAAATTAGGGTTAGTATTATGGGACACCACACCAATAGTTAATTAATAGGGTTACCAATATTTAAACTAGGATTGTAACATCCTTCTAAATCCCGCGTATAATTTACAAATAAATTAATTAAATATTCACCACACAATGGTGTCACATTTCATAAAGACATAATTATCATGTTCCGTAACACAGGTTACCATAAAAAAAATTACACACTTTTATATCTGGGATGTTACACGACACTCAAACATGTCTGATAACTTACCTGAGATGTTACACTACATCCAAACACATCTGATAACTCATCTGGGATGTTACACGACATCCAATCATTCTGAATAGCATCGCAGCGGAATACAATTAAAACATATAATCCAACATATAAGAAAACATGTCATTGGTCTCATAAAAACTTTTTCAACTTCAATTAATATAAATAAGAGAGTTATAATATTCTACTCCCAACAACATAAATCATAGATTCAACAACCAATCAACAAATGTAAATAACACAAAAATGGTTCCCATGTCGATGTTACATGATCAGAGCAAGACCCTACTAAATAAATGACACTAAATGGAAGACAATTCAAGAGATATCCTTTCACTTACTTCAATAACGCTGTTGTTGAGAATCTGAACATCACCCACACAGAAGCATCATTCAAACAGAAGGGGTGAGAAATCACATCCAACAATAAAAGATATAAGATATAAGATATAAGATGAATTAAGACATATACATATTCTTACATCACATCATAACACGCTCTCTCACCTGCATTCATCATCAATTATCACACACAACAACATTTCAATAAATCATTAAACAACATATCATCTACAAATGAGCAATGCAACATAATGTAGTGGACTCGACAAATGACTCATCATGCATGTGGTACCAAAATATGAACACTTAGGTTCATTTCACTTCATGATCCCCACCATAGGATCGATTCCTTCTTGAAACCGAAGTACACCAAATCGCTATTGTTATACCCCAAAATTTACCCTCCCTTTCCTTTAAAATTTTCTTCTAGGGTTTTTTCAGCTGTTCAAAGCTCCTCAGACCTCCAAACACGTCAATTAATTCCTCGAGGGTTCAAATTTGAAAGTGCTTAAGGTTTCTATTGTCCTTTAATATTGAGCTAGGGATTTAACTCTTAAAGATGTGAAGCTTGTTGAGATCAAAAGCTCGTGTTTCAATGGTTGCGCAATATTAATTCATGTATTTGAGTTTATCTTGAATTAAGAGTTTGGATTCATGACGGGAAGAATTGGGGTCGTGATGATTCAAATTTTGACTTTCAGTCAGCATTCACTAAGGAAGCCTCAATTGGGATTTAATTTCATGATTTGACAAGTTTGTTTTTGTTCTGAGAAATGTGAGCATTATTCAAGTCTCTATGATTCCAGATCTGTTTATCGTGGGCAGTGCAAGGATACCGAATCTTTTATTTAACAAGATAGAATTCTTGGATTCTTCTTTCACGTTTTTCTTTCAAATACATTACATTTTATTTTTCATTTTTCATTTTTCTGTTTACATTCTTATTCTTTATTTTCCAATATTACAAATTACATCATAAATCTCTTTCAAAACATCGTATCTTATTTTTTCTATTCTTCTTTCAATATTATGAATCACATCATATTTATTTTTCTTCTTCAAAAAAACATTATATTTTTTATTTTATTTCACATCTACAATTCTTTTTATAAACTACATCACAATTACATTTTGTTTATTATCTTAAACGCTACAAATTACTCCACATTTATTTCAATATTACAATATTTATCTTTTCTTTCAAACATTTATTTCCAAAATATTCACACTATTCATTTCTAAATATTCATTGACATTCATTTCCAAAAATATTCATTAACAATTCAAATTTCCCAAACTCCAAATGTTCATTATCATTCAAACTTCAAATTTCAATTACAATTCAAAGGCATAAACTATAAATTTTCCTATTATTTCTATTCTATTACAAAACAAAAGGTTTCTTCAGCTTCAAGTGTCTTCAAATCTTCCCCTTTGATCTTGCAATCTCATCCAATACATGAAACAAAAAATTTTTGTTAGCAAACATAAACATGGAAATAAGCATTCAAATTGGAAATCATTTTAATTCATCATTAGGGTGGTTTTTTTTTTGGAATAAAAAAAGAGGGATGTTTCATGTGTTAAAGCCTCAAACATTTAGTTCTATCACGGGTCAATGCTATTGCAAATCACAAAGTATTTTAGTTCACAATAGAGGGAAAGGTGCAAACAAAATTTCAAGCCCAATAGAATTCAACCCAACAGGATTCAAGCAGAATTCAAACCCAAAAGAAAAGCCTCATACAAAAGTCAGAATTACATCATTGGCTAGGAGGAATGCTATTGTAAATCACAAAGTGTTTTGGTTCACAATACAAGTACAAAGGATCAAATCAGATTTAAAAAATTAGAACTAGCATAATGTTTTCATGCAAAAAATAGCAGGCCTCATAGGTATGTTGCTTCAATGGAAAAACTCAGAAATTGTAATGACAAATCATAGGCCAAAACAACTTTACTGCAAAATCTAAAAGGCCATGCTTTTATTCACAGAAAAGAGAGAAAAAGAACACAAAAAGTATTCAGTACAACAAGCATAGGGTACAGCAAAACCAGCATCTATCACAAGTGAAGCAACAAGCAACCAATCCAGCAAGCAAACAATCACTAAGCCTCATATTTGTTGGTCTCAATAAAAAAATCAGAACTACAATATTAAAGTCATAGGCTAACTGTACTGCAAATCTCAAAGCAAATATTTTGTTCACAACAGAGTTAACAAAGTCAGAAAAAATACAACAAGCATCACAGAAAAACCAGCAAAAGGACAACAACTCGAGTTATCAAAATACAGGAAGTACAAAACCCGAAAAAAAAAAGCACCAAAACCAATACAGCAGGTACATAACCCAGCAACTAACAAGCAAAGTCAACAAACAAAAGAACAACAAAAGTGATTTATCAAAAAATCAGTAAAAAGTGACAAGCCAGTTATGCCAATTCCCAAAGTCAAAGCCCTCATAAACAAGCAAGCAAATTCAAGGTATAAAGGAACATCATCGAGTTCAGAAGAGGAAGAGAAAATTTTCCAGCAAAAGAAAATATACAGAGATACAAACCCCAACAACACTGTTTGCAAAAAGAAAATTTTCCAGCAAACGAAAATATACAAAACATACAACAAAAGCCAAAACCCAGCCACTGTTTCATCATACCCAAAAATACTCAAGAATCATTTTCAACAAAAGCCACAAAGATACAAAAACACAACAACTGAGCCAAAATAAAGAGGTGATTTTTTTTTATTCTTCAAATCGTTTTCAGCTTCTTTTCATAAAAATATACAACTCAAGAAGATTTTTCGAAACAGAAAAAATATATACGGTCCACAAACACACAGAGGCCGAAACCCTCAACATTATTTTTCACCTTCTTTTCACACAACAGAAAATATACAGAAGCCAACATCATCAGTTTCGCAAACTCAAACCCTTTGTAAAAAAAAAAATATTTTACAGAGAGACATGCAAACAAGAAATCTGAA